CCTTACTAAAATCTAAGTAAATAATATCAAATTCTTTATCGTGGTCAACAGCCTCAAAAGCTTTACTGAAGAAAGTTAATAAATTAGTTAGACAAGACCGGCCTCTTGTGAATCCATGCTGAGTATTATTAATCAAGCTATGCTTATCGAGATGGCTTCTTATAATCTCAGCTATAATTGATTCTAGAAATTTGCCTACAATTTAGGTCAGGCTTATTGGGCGGTAATTTGACGGTAACGACTTGTCCCCTGTTTTAAAAATAGGAATTACATTAGCTATCTTCCACATATCAGACACTACACCTGTTTGAAGAGATAAATTAAAAATATTAGTTAATGGTTCACAGACTTCCATTTTGCATTCCTTTAGAACCCTTGAAAAAACCTCATCAGGACCCGGCGACTTATTTTGCTTCAGTCTGTCTATCTGCTTCACAACCATTTCACTAGTGACTGTGATGTTACATAATTTATCTTCTTCTAGCCCACTATAAAAATTAATTACTGGAATATTGTTAGTGTCTTCCTGTGTAAAAACCGAGAGAAAATAATTATTTAAAATCGAGCACATTTCATTCTCTTTGTCAGTAAGGTGCCCATAGTTATTTTTAAGGGGACCTATCTTATCTCTAACTTTTGTTCTATAGACATAGAAGAAACTTTTTGGGTTAGTTTTAGAATCCCTAGCAACTTTAATTTCATAGTCCCTTTTAGCTTTTGTTATCCCCTTTTTAATGTCCCTCTTAATGCCAATATACTGATTCATAAGATGACCCTCACCTCTTTTCATACGCCTATAAATTCCTTTCTTATGCCCTAGTAGATATTTCAGCCTATTATTCATCCATTTTGGGTCATTTCTATTTGATCTAATTTCTTTATATGGGATAAACGTTCTTTGAGCAGCATGTATAGTGTTCAGAAAACTGTCATATTGATAGCTCTCTTCGTTACCCCAGTCAACAGATGATAAGTGTTCTCTAAGCCCATCATAATCTGCTAAGCGAAAATCTGGGACTGTTACTGAGTTATCCCTACTATCGTACTTCCATTCAATGCTAAATGTAATTGATTTGTGGTCGCTAGCACCGAGTTCCTCTGAAATTTCTAAATTATTAACAAGGGATTCATTGTTTGCCAGAACTAAGTCAAGCAGGTTATTACCCCTTGTAGGTTCTGTCACAAACTGCTTCAAAAAACAATCCTGAACTACTTTTAAGAAGTCGTATGATTCTAAATTCCCAGTCAAGAAATTCCAATCAGTGTGACTAAAGCTAAAGTCTCCTAGAATTACTACATTATCGTGTCTTGTGGCCCTAACAATTTCCTCCCGTAGTAGTCTCCTTGGTCTCTACTTAATTTTGGGGGACGGTATATCACACCTAAAATCAATTTTTCATGCCCCTCTGAAAATTCTATCCAAACAGGCTCTGTATGTGTTACTTCAGACTTAATACCCGTTTTTATGCAACAGTTCGAAGTTATGGAATCCCCATATGGTTTGCAAAACCTGTGTAGAATGCTTACGACAGTGGAAAAATAGACAACGGAAAATTTAAACTTGTGTTTACCTCCACAAAGATAATATAATAATAATATAATATCTTTATTTACTACAAGTATATGTACAATGTACACATGCCTAGCTGACATCAGTGACATATTTCTATATAGAAAGCAGCTTGTTATGCTGAGTATTTCTGGCAAATTAGGTCAATTTTGTCCCAGGATGCGACCCACACCAGTTGACTATCACTCATGGGTGAACATAGACAACCGGTGTAAGGAAACACGTCCAATGTTTACAACTCTTCGCCGAGAATTGAACCTGGACCCTCATCGTGTGACGAGAGAGCTTTTGCCACCAGACAACAGACACGCCTAACTTAATTCTGATGGACCATCTAATTTACACAATTAAGGCACTCTTTCACTCATTATCACTGATATTCACTGTTTACTTGCTTATGGAACCACAGCTCATGAAAGCAAACTGATCCAAGAAAACTCAATTGGTTCACTGAACCACAGCTGGTTCATGGAACCACACTCGTTTTCGGAAACAACATCTGATTCAAAAGAGGACCATAACTGTGGAAGACTTTACCCGCCAGCCACTGTACAAGCTTTGTCAGGCATCAGGTGAACACTCCCTCCCCAGGTGACTGTACGACATAAACCTAATTATGCTTAACAGTTCGCAAACTGGCGAAATTATCTACAAACATTATCTCTAGATTCACAGCAGGATTCGAACCAGCACACTCTGTATTATACTACATAGTTCTTTAGCCACTCAGGCAAATCCCAGATAAGTATGGGCGCCCAGCTGAAGTTAAACGGTTACACTATCCTGGTGTCTCTCTGGCTGAATGGGTAAAGTACTGTGTACTTTGATACAGAGTGTGCAGATTCGAATCCTGCTGTGGACTGAAAGATAATGCTTGTAAATAATTTCGCCCGTTTGCGAATTCTTAAGTATTTTAATATCTCTTTAAGCGTTCGCTGAATGTGGCAGGATTTGATGATATAATGTATCACTAGCCTGCTGTCTCAGGGGGCAGGAGTGACCGTGTGGCTTCGGCTAGGTGCCTATACTTATCTGAGAACTGGCTTAGTGGCGAAAACACTCTGTACACTGATACAGTGTGCAGGTTCGTTTCCTGCTGTGGACTGACAGATAATGTTTTACACCTAGTTATATACCTGCCAGTTTGATGGCCTTGTTGACACCTGGTTCCTAGTTAATTACCAGGCGAAGAGAAACTTGTAAAGGTCTGAGGGTGCAAGCAGGGCGTGCGGATATGACACTTGACAAATTTGGAATTGATATCCAGTAGCCTTTTACCAATATCGCTGTATTCCGATTAAATCTATACCTGTTTTGCCCCAAAATAAGGATTTTCATCTAAATGATGAACAAGGTGGGGTAAAGATGGACTTCCATACCATTGTAAGTCTGTATGGGGACTTGGTGTCTCAGACGTATGTAGACGTCAGGCATTCATCTAAATGATGAGCTGTTACAATATCGAAATATCATTAAATCACTATAATTGACAGTCAGCACTTACACAGAAAATGCTCTCTAAATCAAGATTGTGGATTCCGCCTAAAATCCAGGAAGTTCACTAATAACACATATCACTTAACAAACGTTATAGAGTCACCATCAAATTAGAGATACCGGCAGTTATTACACCTGCCTCTTGGTGCTCGCGTCATGAAAGATACACATTGTGATGTGTGTCTTGTTAGGTGCTAAACCGAAGACTGCTGGCGCCAGGCTTATAAAAACAGCCTGGCGCAAGTGCCGGCTCTGAGACCCTGAGACCTCTGGGACGTCAGAACAATAGTAACTATGATGTTCATAAAGCACAGGGTTCTGAGATTTAGAGACAATATGGTTTCATTTTCAAATATTACCACTGTCATTGCAAGACAAGTATAAAAATAACACATCGGCGTGAAACTCGCGTCTCTAGCGGTGACGTTAGTTATTAACCCATTGTTTTCCCCACTTGGCAGGGAGGGTGCTAATAGTCACACACACACACACAAGACAAGGAAGAGAGGTCCTCCCAAATGTTTAGAAAATACAGACATATGGGGATTCAAAATATCTCCACAACACTGAGTAAGGACAGGTAATGATAACACTGGTCCTGAGTGTAATCAAGTAATAACAACAGTGACCGTGGACTGGTAATGATAACACTGGTCCTGATTGTAATCAAGTTATAACAACAGTGAGTGAGGACATATAATGATAACACTGGTCCTGAGTGTAATCAAGTTATAACAACACTGAGCGTGGACAGATAATGATAACACTGGTCATGAGTGTAATCAAGTAAAAACAACAGTGAGCGTGGGCAGGTAATGATAACACTAATCCTGAGTGTAATCAAGTAATAACAACAGTAAGCGTGGGCAGGTAATGATAACACTGGTCCTGAGTGTAATCAAGTAATAACAACAGTGAGCGTGGGCAGGTAATGATAACACTGGTTCTGAGTGTAATCAAGTAATAACAACAGTGAGCGTGGGCAGGTAATGATAACACTGGTTCTGAGTGTAAGCAAGTAATAACAACAGTGAGCGTGGGCAGGTAATGATAACACTAGTCCTGAGTGTAATCAAGTAATAACAACAGTGAGCATGGGCAGGTAATGATAACACTGGTCCTGAGTGTAATCAGGTAATAACAACAGTGAGCGTGGGCAGGTAATGATAACACTGGTCCTGAGTGTAATCAAGTAATAACAACAGTGAGCGTGGGCAGGTAATGATAACACTGGTCCTGAGTGTAATCAAGTAATAACAACAGTGAGCGTGGGCAGGTAATGATAACACTGGTCCTGAGTGTAATCAAGTAATAACAACAGTGAGCGTGGGCAGGTAATGATAACACTGGTCCTGAGTGTAATCAAGTAATAACAACAGTGAGCGTGGGCAAGTAATGATAACACTGGTCCTGAGTGTAATCAAGTATTAACAACATTGAGCGTGTGCAGGTAATGATAACACTAGTCCTTAGTGTAATCAAGTTAACACTGTCCAGGTAATAAGATCAACTGACCTAAAAGCCGTTAAACATTTTTAGGTTCAACATATTGAATAATACGTTGTATCAAAAATACGTTACCACTTTTGGTTTTGATGTAAATCAAATTTGAAATGCTATTTCAAGCATGCTGTGAGTGCAGTGCTCTTGTACATGTAGCTGACTTCTGTTCAATCGAGGTAAGCCAATATTAATTTCACTTGATCATAGCATTTTAAATAGTACTGATCAGGGTATTGTCATAAATACATTTCTGTTACCAGAGAAACATAAACTCTACTTACCTCTAGCACATTACCCAGACTCATTGAGATGTACATCAACAAAAGCTGTTATTAATTAGTCTGGCTATGGAATCCACAGATTATTACAAGCACACACGATCAACTGCCCATAGATAAATGACACATAACTACACAGTTAACTAAAATACCTGTCTTCATAAATGTGAGAAGCTTCTTTGTAGATTCCGGTGTAGATTGTTTTGTAGCCTTTAGGTACTGCATGATGAAAATATTGGGGGCGAAGTTCAGCATATTTTGTTCACCACACCCGTATGGCATTCTGATCAGGTTTCCAAGATTCTGTTTGGTAAACATTGAAGGAACACATTGTTAGTAAAAATAAAAATAATACAGATACAAATGAAGAAAACTGAAAAAAAAAATAAAATTAAATGGTGTATGTTGAATATTTTGTCCTACAAATAAGATCATTTTAAGCAGACTAGAAAATGTATGTTTTTATAGTTTATTCTTCAGAGAAAACTACTGAACATTGGTCTGTATCTGTGAGAGAAAAGTTCAACAGATAGGAGTAGCGAGCGAGTATATGGTAATGATAGTTTGATTGCCGGCTGCTTGTTAAGGTAGGGTCAGTCTAGCTCCTGCTATCCCCCTCTTTTCTCCCCGTGTGGGGCTCCGGCCAAACAGTAATCACTCACTCAGCTCCCAGCACAACTGTAAGTGAAAGCCTCTGCTCCTATTCTAGTGGATATTGGTTGAAAGCTTCACTTTTGACCAATAACAAACTTAATCTTTTCAGTTTTAAGCTCCACATGAGACTTTTAGATAATCACCACCTTTTTTAAGTATCTTACACTTATCATGGAGAGTGATTTCTTAAACAGTGGGAAACCTGTCTCTCTTTCCAGCTTGGAATGACAGATCGGGTCACCTGCCAACCAACGAGAAGTGTTGAAGGAGACGGACTGAAACCGGTCTTGAGACGTCACTTTATGATCTACCTATCAGATTAATTGTACAGGACACTACCCCTCATCTTTGTAGTGGTAAAGAACCTGTGTTCCTGTCATCAGGACTGACTATTCAAGGCTATAGACTCTGTGAAGAACTAGTCGTTGGGTTGTCGCTCAATACCTGTGGACTCCTCCCATCATTAACGGTTACAATTTCTACAAGACGGTGTCAGCATCAACCAGACACCCCAGTTTATTTGCACATATTAGCGCTGAAGTCAAATGGCAATTTTTCATTTCACTTTCCTTTTTCTTTAAAGTAGGATACACCTTCATGTTTCAATGTTTTATCTTTGCATTACTAAATAATAAAGTGTTTATTTTGTGAATTATTTCTTCTTCTATTCATTAATTTTCCTGAGGAGGAGCCAACCTTGGTAATACTGTCTGAAGTTGTTACAGGGCTGAGAAAGCCTTCACAAGTGGCGACCTTGCCAGGATCAACTCTACTGAATCAAGATTCAACTCCATCTCGAATCTGTCATTGAAACTTCATCTCCGCATACCACAGACGGTTACCTCCAGCCATGAGTAATCATTCTCTATGGTAGGACTACAGTACAGGTATTTAAAAGATTTGGTGATTGTTATAGACTCAATTTATTGTAAGTCTAGTCAAGGCAGGATATTCTAGTTAATTCTGTCACCTGTATTTTTGAGCTTGAAACGATTTGGAGGAATAGACTCTATGGACCCGAGATTTTCCAATGACAAGTTGCTTCATTGAGCTCTTTATTATATCAAGGAAACTGTTGTAGGACACTCTTGATTTGTTGGTGAGAAGACTGGATGGTCATGGGACCCCATTCTACTTACTGTGTGCTCAGAGCCGGCATAGAACCCTCCGTTTTCATTCTCACATATACTGTTTAATCGAAGCAGGGATCGAACCCTCTGATTTATTTACTGTTTGAGCGGTGCAGGAGTTGAACCCTCTGTTTTCTTTGATATATCCGTTTCATTTTCCCCTGGTAGTTAAAGTTATTCTTGCAAGTATGGAGGAATACCAGTTTTGGATGAATGCTGGGAGTAAGTTAGGAATAACGGGGAAAAATTTAGAAGCTTTCATTAGTGCTAAGATCCAGGAAAGAATAGAGAAGGAAAGAATTGAGAGAGAAGAAAGACAGAAAGAGAAAGAGAGGAGAAAAAGGAGAGAGAGAGATTTGAAAGAGAGGAGAAAAATGAGAGAGAGAGAATTGAAAGAGAAAACCAAGATAGACAGTTAGAAAGAGAGAGAGAAGACAAAAAGGAGCGTGATAGACTTGATCGTGAGGAGAGAGCTAAAGTACATGAGGAACAAGCTAAAATACGTGAGGTTAAGAGAACTTGAGCAAAGAGCAAAAGATAGAGAACATGAGTTAAGAGAAAGAGAAAAAGATCGTGAGGCAGAGAAATCTCGCCTTGAATTAGAGAATAGATAGTTAACTTTTACACAACAACACTAGAGGAAGGAGTAATTGAACATCATGCAGCTAGTGCATGTATTCCAACACCTAATTTACCTCCCTTCACAGAGGGTGTAGATATTACTTCATACATTATCAGGTTTGAAAATACCGCTACCCTCTGTGAATGGCCTGCTGACACCTGGGCTACCAGGTTAGGAATGTTATTTTCTGGTACAGCTTTGAATATCTATGCAACTTTGTCGCAGGATATCATATGTAATTATAACCTACCCAAGAAGGCAATCCTTAAAGCATATAAAAAAAAACACAAATTCTTACAGGAAAGATTTCAGGTATGCCACCTTACAGCCTGGCCAGAACTTTCAGCAGTTACAGGTAACACTCTTTCGTTTGTTCGACTTTTGGATAGAGAGTTCAGGAATTGATCACAGTTATGAATCTCTTAGAGACTTCATGGTCACTGACCAGTTCCTGACAGCTCTTCCCCATCAGATACGAACATTCATTAGAGAACGTAACCTGATTAAAGCTGAGGAAGTTGCTGAGGCCGCTGACTTGTATGCTGAGGCTCGCAATTCCTATAAAGACCTAAAGGGATTGAACCCTAAGGGCAATGGTTCACCTGAACCAAAGATTAAGAAGCCTACAGTAGAAACAAAGTCACCAACATGTCATCGGTGTGGTGGTATCGGACATAAACGTCCAGATTGTCCTTCCAAGAAAATAGAGAAAGTTGGTAGATGTTTTGTTGACTGTAATGACCAAGCACCCTTCTGCTCAGGAGCAGTTAATGGTATAAAAGTCTCAGATATATTACGTGACACTGGATGTACGTGCATCGTAATTTCGGACAAACTGTTCCCTTACTTTAAAACCTCCCGTGTGTCCTCTATGCTTTCAGATTACTTGGGTCATGAAAATACTTTCCCTACAATACGTTACTTGAAAACTAAAAATGGTTCACTGGTTGGACTAATGCGGTACTAGCCCCAATTACTTGTTCTATAATAGTGCATAACATTAAAGGTGTCGTTCTTCCTTCAGAGGCGGATCTTTCGTCACCACCCATGGATCTAAGTTTTCCAGCTCCTCTTTCTTGCAAGTTAAATAAGCCCCTTAACAATTCCACACCGGAAGCTGCATTGTCTCGTACTGTTCATTTGGGGGTGGAAACAGATGATACTGCTCTCGATAGTGAGGTAGCAGGAACACCTGTCCACTCGTCAGGTGAAAGTAAGGGTATTGCCTCCGGTACTCTCAATGTCTTGACTAGGGCTCAGACCATAACCCTGGCTCCTCCTCCCTCCTCTTCTCCCACCGTAAGCCATTTCATTTTCCCAGGTTTTATGTCCAAGGATGACTTTGTCAATATTCAGCACGATTGCCCTTCAATTCGGGATTGTCATAATCAAGCTTTTAACAACAAAGTTATCCACGGGAGATACGTATCTCATAAGTTTGAATATATTAATTGTATCTTATATAAATCTGTATTTAAATCTCATTCTTCAGCGATAGATTATTCCCTCCTTGTTGTTCCTAAACCATGTCGAGAGACTGTTATTAATAATAATAATAATAATAATAATAATATCTTTATTTTACTACAAGTACAAGTACAGGGTATACAGTCCTAGCTGATAACAATGACATACTACTATACAGAAAGTCCCTTGTTATGCTCCGCATTTCGGGCAAATTAGGTCAGTGTCCCAGGATGCGACCCACACCAGTCGACTAACACCCAGGTACCCATTTTACTGATGGGGAACATAGACAACAGGTGGAAAGAAACACGTCCAATGTTTCTACTCTGGCTGGGAATCGAACCCAGGCCCTCGCCGTGTGAAGCGAGAGCGTTAACCACCAGGCCACCAGAGCCTTCAAATGGCTCATGATTTGCCAGTGACCAAACACTTGGCCCATAGTAAGACGTGGCATAAACTCAAGCACACTTATTTTTGGCCAAGCATGTACTTACAGGTTACAAAGAAGTATAGTTCTTGCAATAGGTGTCATGTGATTACTGCACAAAATACACACACTCCTAGTTCCTGTATATTTATTAAATCTAAAACTTTCCTCCTGCAGAAACGAGATACTCCATACTGGCCCTTGTGTGGGGTATCTCCAAACTTAAATTTTATTTACTGGGAAAAGAATTCATTTTAGAAACGGATCACAAACCTTTGATATACCTAGAAACTTTTAAGGGAACCAACAGTCGCCTCTTGAGGTGGACATTGGCACTCCAAGCTTTAAAGTTTCATATTGTGTATATCAATGGTTCATCCAATTATTTCTCTGACTGGTTAAGTCGTGACAGTCAGTAGATTTGTTGCCTTACACGACTTTGTATTAGAACTTTTTCCTCGCCTATTCTTCTTATACTCCTTGACTATAAGTCTTGGTATGGGGGAGTGTGAGGGAAAAGTTCAACAGATAGGAGTAGCGAGCAAGTATATGGTAATGATAGTTTGATTGCCGGCTGCTTGTTAAGGTAGGGTCAGTCTAGTTCCTGCTATCCCCCTCTTTTCTCCCCATGTGGGGCTCCGGCCAAACAGTAATCACTCGACTCACAGCTCCCAGCACAACTGTAAGTAAAAGCCTCTGCTCCTATTCTAGTGGATATTGGTTGAAATCTTCACTTTTGACCAATAATAAACTTAGTCCTTTCAGTTTTAAGCTCCACATGAGACTTTTAGATAATCACCACCTGTTTTAAGTATCTTACACTTATCATGGAGAGTGATTTCTTAAGCAGTGGGTAACCTGTCTCTCTTTCCAACTTGGAATGACAGCTCGGGTCACCTGCCAACCAACGAGAAGTGTTGAAGGAGACGGACTGAAACCGGTCTTGAGACGTCACTTTATGATCTACCTACCTGATTAATTGTACGGGACACTACCCCTCATCTTTGTAGTGGTAAAGAACCTGCGGTCCTGTAATCGGGACTGACTATTCAAGGCTATAGTCTCTGTGAAGAACTAGTCGTTGGGTTGTCGTTCAATACCTGTGGACTCCCCCCATCATTAACGGCTACAATTTCTACAAGACGGTGTCAACCTCAACCAGACACCCCAGTATAACTGTATATATTAGCGTTGAAGTCAAATGGCAATTTTTCATTTAATTTTTAATTTTTCTTTAAAGTAGGATACACCTTCATGTTTCAATGTTTTATCTTTGCATTACTAAATAATAAAGTGTTTATCTTTGTGAATTATTTCTTTTTCTATTCATTAATTTTCCTGAGGAGGAGCCAGCCTTGGTAATACTGTTTGAAGTTGTTACAGGACAGAGTAAGTCTTCACAGTATCATTAGTTGACCTGCTCGGATGTACCGCCATTTTACTGGGGCCACGGCAAGACAGTACTGTGGATGGACACAATTGAGGGTAGAGGAAGCCTTTGTCCCAGTAATGGCCCATAGTGGCAACAGCCGCTGGCTTGCAGGTACTGGACTCAGTGGTGAAAGTGAAAAGTATACAGTCAAACCATACCACGGGCGGGGATAGAACCCGCGATCAGAGAGTCTCAAAACTCCAGACCGTCGCGTTAGCCACTGGACCAGCTAGCCACAATAAGATTCATCCAACTAGGTATATTTCTACACCATAGGAAGGTTAGCATAGGCACCACTGTGACCACAAATGCAAGCTTTTACAGGAGAATCTCCAGCTAGCGTGGCCGTGACGAACTCTAGTTCAAGTCCCCTCAAAGCCGTTAACATGACTCACGAAATCGTAATGACAAGATTGCAAACAAACCAGTGGTTAACGCGACGGTCTGGAATTTTGAGACTCTCTGATCGCGGGTTCTATCCCCGCCCTTGGTATGGTTTGTTTGCAATCGTGTCATTACGATTTCGTGAGTCATATACAGTCAAGGCGAACATTTTTGTAAGTGCCCGAGGGCTTTCATACGATGGCAACCAGAGTTAAGCAACGCGACAATGATCAGGAGCAACAACTAGGTCAGTTGTATATTCTAAGTCAGGTACAGGATGGACTAGGTCGGGTGTAAGGTCTTAAGTGCAGGATCAAAGTTACGTGCAAGAAGAGACTTCAGATTTCCACTATTCTTATGATAAATCAAAATTAGTTTAATAATTTTGGGTTATTACATGTAGATTGTATTACATCAGCTGTCCTGTTGATAATATAAATGTGATACGTAAGCTGCTGGAAAACTACTGAAATGTAATTTTTCTTATCAAATAGACCTACGTTAAGGTACTCTGTTCGTTAAATTTCTAGTTATTTCTACTGAACGATTGGTAGCAGTCTTTGCCAGGAATTATGTAAGCATTAGGAACATTAAGAAAGCTTCATTTCTGAGACACTGGTAATACAAATGCTGTTATATTATAATTATAGGCTTTCTCTTTATTTGTATTTATATGTTGTATTCAAAATTAATGTGTGTTCTATAGGGTGTCTTTCAATTATGTTAAAATAATATTTTAAATGACAATTGGTAGGAGTGTCATAATGTAGTTATTTGCTAAAATAGTAACCTATATTGGTATTTTCCCGTTATATAAGTATTATATTGATAAATTAGACACATGTGCAACTTTTGGGTATCTTTACTGAGGAAACGTTTCGCCACACACAGTGGCTTCATCAATCCATACAAAGGAGAAACGTGAAGAACAGGAGGAGAATGAGGTAATCAGTCCCTCAACCTTGAGTCACTGTGGTCAGTCCATTATTCTATTCTAGACTGATGGACTGACTAAATCGCCTCAAGGTTGAGGGACTGATTGCCTCATTCTCCTGTTCATGATGTTTCTCCTTTGTATGGACTGATGAAGCCACTGTGTGGCGAAACGTTTCCTCGATAAAGATACCCAAGAGTTACACAGTGTCTAATTTATCAACGTGTCGGTTCTCTGAACCATTCATCTACAAGTATTATATTATATTTACTACTCAGTGATTTTCTATAAAACTTTCAAATCACTTCTAATAAATCTTGTAGGGTGCACCAAGAATGTTACAACTTAATCATCGTTCGTTGCATTACCATTATCATGCCATCATTATCAGAGAACTGGCAATACAGAGTATAGAAATCCTGGAGCCCCACTATAATAATTGCCCAGTTCAACCCACCAGTTAAGAGAGAGAGAGAGTGAGAGAGGTCACTTCCCTTACCAAGATGACATCATACCTGCCTGCCTGACTAGAAAGCAGACTCTAACCTACTCTGGTCGAAACTACTCGTTGGTTTTAGTAGCTAACTTAATATTTTATCTTTGTATATAAGTGATGAAGGAATAGAAAGGTAAAAAATTTTACTTCTGCTGTGTTTGACATGCTAGTGCCCTGTCTTGTTGGTCTCTATATATTGCTGACTTTATTTACACCCAGATGCTACAGGCCTCGGTTACCTGAGTTCATAATATTTATAAAATATTTTGAATAGATTATAAATTATTGAGTAATCACATAGAAGTAAAAAAAATTATTATCAAAAATTTACATACTACAATAGGATGGCTGATGAGTGGAACAATCTGCCTAGTATGGTTACTGAAACTACCTTGGGTAGTTTCAAAGTTAAGTTGGATAAATACATGAGTAAGAGGGAGGGGTGGATTTGAGTGGGACATGCACGTGTGAGTAAATAGATTTATCAAAGCTTATTGCTTGAGTAGCACTGAAAATGGGTTGGACAAATATTCTGTTAGTGGGTTAGATTTGTGAAAGACCTGCGAACTATAGGCTTACTGCAGTGTCCCTAATTACTTATGTTCTAAGTATACCACCTCAAGTGTGAGAGCAAGAAGGTCTCCAACAGCCGTGACCCAGGCTCGATCTGATCCTTCAACGATGTGTGAAGGTGTCTGCAGCTTCCACTGTTCCAGAGAGTCGTCTCCCGTCTTCACATCTTACCAAAAAATATTTTGTTTACAACAGAAAATTCTCTCTATTTAAAATCAATATTATAAAATCATAAATTAGATGTTAGATACTGAGAAAATAATATTATTATTTACTCATATGAGATCACAGTAAACAGGTGATGCCACAATGTGTAGAACAACCACTGTAAAAGAACAGTAGAATTCCAAGCTCTTTCATGATTTCTGACATAATCAAGGAACTGTAAAAATAAAAAAAAATCAACAGGAAGACATATAAGAAACGAGACAACACCTCACAGTCATCTTCTTTCAACACCTGACTTTTTATGATGTAAGTGAAACACAGCTTAAATTCTACACAAGCATTAAGAATTTAACTTGTGTAATGTATTTTAAATTCTTTCCAAATTTTATTGATTATGAATGAATCCAATTTGTATAACCTAAAGTAAATATTCATATTATTTTTAAAAGTATTTTTTATGAAACTTGGTTCTATTATATTTCTCTCGTCTATGGTCTTGCTACATACAACCTTCCAATTGATTTCCAAAAAGCTGATGTTTTGAATATTTGTGTTGTGATATCTTAATATATAGAGATTTGCAAGTCTGTCACACATAACATAAATTGCACACCTTGCAACCAATTCCATACACATCATCGACGCAATGGTGAAGAATTCTTTATCAGAATACTTTTAATAGTCTGTGTATTATTTAAAACTACTTGTATGTTAAATCTTTTCAGAACATTCAGCAGAAGAGATAAATTCTCATTGTATGGGATAACCAACATATTTTTGATCTGAGGTGTTATCCTAGGTTCAGTCCTATGATAAGTTTTTCAAGCTGCAAGCAATGCTGATTCCACAAAATATCTAGGTACCGCAGTTTAGTGAAAATATCAGATATTTTACGAATTTCTTCATCTATAAATTCAGGAATACATACTCAGTAAACTCTCAGAAACATGAAGAGAAAGACACTCCTTTTAACGCTCGTCTCTTTGCTGTAATAATAGTGGTTATATGAGCACACATTAGTGTCCTTCTTATATACTGTAAACCTGAACTTTGTATCAACATAGTGTATCAACACGTCTAGGGAAGGGAGTTTAGATTCCATTTCTTTCTGCACTGTGAATTTAATAAACGGGATCAAATCATTAAGATTCGGTAAGAATGTACCCAGGTCCACATCATTCGACCACAAACAATAGCTATCATTCACATATCAGAACCATTTAGCTTTACAGGGAAGGACGTCTTCCAACATCCTCACCTCGAAGAAGTCTATACAGAGATTGCTCAATAATTATTCCCTGTCTTTGAGCATAGTATTTTCCTTTACATTCAAACCTGCAATCAACTACACAAAACATAATCAGCTCAGTAATGGTATTCTTATTAAAAGGCATGGAGAACTGATCTAATTCTTTTCCAGGTAAGATATTAAATAAAAAAAGTCTATGCCTATTGATATCTTCCAGTTGCCAGATATCAACATTTAGAATGTTAAGCCTTTCAAGTCATATCGAAGTTGACAGAATTCTTCATGAGCGCCATGCCATTAATTGTTACGCTCTTCGGGCTGCCACTGCAATACCAGTGCTTGTGGGCTGGTGGTCTTATAATGTCTTAAAAAATATTCAACCTTCCAGGCACCAGTCACTGGGCACTGGCTGGCACCCCTGGTCACTTACTCTCTCCTTCCTTCTTCCCTCATTTTAGAAAAAACTCTCAGTCTGAACGTGTTTGCTCGAATTTCATTATCTTTTCTGTAACATTGTAAGCACCTGATGATGTGTTGATTGCAAAAAGAAATGTCTAGAGATATTTTTCAACTCCAAACGTGGTTGTTTTGCATCTTGCATCGCTTGTTCGTGATTTCATTCTATATATATATATATATATATATATATATATATATATATATATATATATATATATATATATATATATATATATATATAATATAATATATATTATATATATATATATATATATATATATATATATATTATATATATATATATATATATATATATATATATATATATATATATATATATATAATATACATATATATATATATATATATACGTACATAAGTTAGCATATGAGAAGTTTTTACAAAGTAGAAGTGATGCAAGGAGGGAAGAGTATATGGAGAAAAAGAGAGAGGTTAAGAGAGTGGTAAAGCAATGTAAAAAGAGAGGAAATGAGAGAGTGGGTGGAATGTTATCAACAAATTTTGTTGAAAATAAGAAAAAGTTTTGGAGTGAGATTAACAAGTTAAGGAAGCCTAGAGAGCAAATGGATTTATCAGTTAAAAATAGGAGAGGAGAGTTATTAAATGGAGAGTTAGAGGTATTGGGAAGATGGAGGGAATATTTTGAGGAATTGTTAAATCTTGATGAAGATAGGGAAGCTGTGATTTCGTGTACAGGGCAAGGAGGAATAACATCTTGTAGGAGTGAGGAAGAGCCAGTTGTGAGTGTGGGGGAAGTTCGTGAGGCAGTAGGTAAAATGAAAGGGGTAAGGCAGCCGGGATTGATGGGATAAAGATAGAAATGTTAAAAGCAGGTGTGGGGATATAGTTTTGGATTGGTTGGTGCAATTATTTAATAAATGTATGGAAGAGGGTAAGGTACCTAGGGATTGGCAGATTGCATGCATAGTTCCTTTGTATAAAGGCAAAGGGGACAAAAGAGAGTGCAAGAATTATAGGGGGATAAGTCTGTTGAGTATACCTGGTAAAGTGTATGGATGAGTTATTATTGAAAGAATTAAGAGTAAGACGGAGAATAGGACAGCAGATGAACAAGGAGGCTTTAGGAAAGGTAGGGGGTGTGTGGACCATGTGTTTACAGTGAAATATATAAGATAAGGCTAAAGAGGTCTTTGTGGCATTTATGGATTTGGAAAAGGCGTATGACAGGGTGGATAGGGGTACAATGTGGCAGATGTTGCAGGTGTATGGTGTAGGAGGTAGGTTACTGAAAGCAGTGAAGAGTTTTTACGAGGATAGTGAGGCTCAAGTTAGAGTATGTAGGAAAGAGGGAAATTATTTCCCAGTAAAATTAGGCCTTAGACAAGGATGTGTGATGTCACCGTGGTTGTTTAATATATTTATAGATGGGGTTGTAAGAGAAGTAAATGCGAGAGTCTTGGCAAGAGGTGTGGAGTTAAAAGATGAAGTATCACACATAAAGTGGGAGTTGTCACAGTTGCTCTTTGCTGATGACACTGTGCTCTTGGGAGATTCTGAAGAGAAGTTGCAGAGATTGGTAGATGAATTTGGTAGGGTGTGCAAAAGAAGAAAATTAAAAGTGAATACAAGAAAGAGTAAGGTTATGAAGATAACAAAAAGATTAGGTGATGAAAGATTGGATATCAGATTGGAGGGAGAGAGTATGGAGGAGGTGAATGTATTCAGATATTTGGGAGTGGACTTGTCAGCGGATGGGTCTATGAAAGATGAGGTGAATCATAGATTTGATGAGATGAAAAGGGTGAGTGGTGCACTTAGGAATCTGTGGAGACAAAGAACTTTGTCCTTGGAGGCAAAGAGGGGAATGTATGAGAGTATAGTTTTACCAACGCTCTTGTATGGGTGTGAAGCATGGGTGATGAATGTTGCAACGAGGAGAAGGCTGGAGGCAGTGGAGATGTCATGTCTGAGGGCAAAGTGTGGTGTGAATATAATGCAGAGAATTCGTAGTTTGGAAGTTAGGAGGAGGTGCGGGATTACCAAAACTGTTGTCCAGAGGGCTGAGGAAGGGTTGTTGAGGTGGTTCGGACATGTAGAGAGAATGGAGCGAAACAGAATGACTTCAAGAGTGTATCAGTCTGTAGTGGAAGGAAGGCGGGGTAGGGGTCGGCCTAGGAAAGGTTGGAGCGAGGGGGAAAAGGAGGTTTTGTGTGCGAGGGGCTTGGACTTCCAGCAGGCATGCGTGAGCGTGTTTGATAGGAGTGAATGGAGACAAATGGTTTTTAATACTTGACGTACTGTTGGAGTATGCGCAAAGTAACATTTATGAAGGGATTCAGGGAAACCGGCAGGCCGGACTTGAGTCCTGGAGATGGGAAGTACAGTGCCTGCACTCTGAAGGAGGGGTGTTAATGTTGCAGTTTAAAAAGTGTAGTGTAAAGCACCCTTCTGGCAAGACAGTGATGGAGTGAATGATGGTGAAAGCTTTTCTTTTTCGGGCCACCCTGCCTTGGTGGGAATCGGCCATTGAGATAATAAAATACAAAATAAATATAAATAAATATTATATATATATATATATATATATATATATATATATATATATATATATTTATATATATATATATATATATATATATATATATATATATATATATATATATATATATATATATATATATATATATATATATATATGTCGTGCCGAATATGTAAAACTGGTCAATTAGCAAGAGCACATTTAAAATTAAGTCCTTTCTAAAATTTTCTCTTATACGTTTAAAGATATATTTTTTTCATTAATGTTAATATAAAATTTTATAATTTTGCACCAAAAGAATCTTAGAAAACTTACCTAACCTTATTATAACAAGGACAATTTATTTTAGCCTAACCCAACTAAATATATTTTAGATACATTTACAATAATTTATAGAGGGCCAGAAGAAGATAAATTATGTAACATCACAGTCACTAGTGAAATGGTTGAGAAGCAGATAGACTGAAGCAAAATAAGTCGCCGGGTCCTGATGAGGTTTTCTCAAGGGTTCTTAAGGAATGTAAAATGGAACTCTGTGAGCCATTAACTAATATTTTTAATTTATCTCTTCAAACAGGTGTAGTGTCTGTTACGTGGAAGATGGCTAATGTAATTCCTATTTTTAAAACAGGGGACAAGTCGTTACCGTCAAATTACCGCCCAATAAGCCTGACCTCAATTTTAGGCAAATTACTAGTCAATTATAGCTGAGATTATAGGAAGCCATCTCGATAAGCACAGCTTGATTAATGATACTCAGCATGGATTC